GGTTATCGGGGTCCTGATTTGTTCTTAGCGCTATTCGGCGCCTGCATCCTGCTCGTCTGCGCCCTCGCACTAATTAGATCGCAGTAGGACTAAGCCTTTGAGTAGTGTAGGGCTCCAAAGTGGGTAGGCCATTCCCCTGTGGTGTGACACACTCCAACTTTTGCCACACGGTGCGTGGTTTACCCACTCCGGAGTTTCACTCCCCTCCCCTAAGCTTAGTCGTAGGCGCTGTAGGTGAGAAAGCTTAGAAAGCAGAAAGTATGCGTTAAACAGCACGAATGTGAAAAATGAGTGTCATATTCATGATCAGGGCCCCAAATAACCCCTATGCAGAAGTTTACAGTCGTCTCATCAAACGTCCATCAACCATTCCTCTTCCAGGTTCTCCAGAAGCTCTACCATCCATCTCTGCAAAAATAACCTACCTCCCTCTTCACTGCTAGTTAGCGGTCCACTTCTGGTTACCATTTCCTCGTTCATTATCAAATCCATGGCTATTAAGCTTCAAACTCCTTGTCGCAATCAAAGCCGACACAAATATCGCGCTCCAATCGCGCGTTCTTATATACCGTAGTTGTTTTCGCTACGGGTGCGCCAGCCTGCCGCGCGATGTCGCGTTGCGAAGAGCGAAAAAGTCGCGTTCTGTCCTAAGTACCCACACCCCATTTGAAAGTGTCATAGGTTTCAAAATCATCCATAGAACACATCGGTTCTTCCATTCAATCATTATAGGTCACTACTATCGACTTAATTAAGTTACCAACAGGGGCAAGTTCTTTCTCATGCTCTAGGAAGATGCAGACGTGAGCACATGGAAAGTAAAAATGTCGAACAGATTAACTGAGGCATATTGGATCATTATGAAACAGAGGTCTGTAGGATCCAAGCTTGCAAGAGGATTTACCAGATAACACTTGGATGCTCGGTGCATCGCAATCTTTCTTAAATGCGGTTACAACAGATTCATGGTTGTTCATTATGCTATAACGAGCGTTCAAGAGGATAACTACTTAAGGTAGTTGTCCTCTTGAAATGCTAGTTGTCCTCTTGAAACACAATCTGCTAGAACGAGTGCTCAAGAGGCTAACTACTCAAGGTAGTTATCATCTTGAGCACTCGTGCTAGCAGAATAGTAGTTCAAAAGAATTTTTAGAGGTTACTCTCTCATGCAGAGAGTAACCCCTGAAATTCCTCTTGAAGGTATGACTGATTAGTCACGGAGCAGACCTGCAACCATATGCCAGATTTTCCGTAAATCTAGTCGATGGTTCCTAATTTTGAATGATTACGATAGGTTAGAATAGTTTGGTCATCCTTTCCAGAAATAGAAAAAAACTTTGACTTTAAGTTATTGTTTCCCAATTCTTGTTTGTGTCTGCTATAAACTGCTGTCTAGAGAGTTGTGAACGTGGACAACAACACATTACCCTTTTTGTTGTTCGAGTGGAGCATGATTGATGAGTCATGTTTGGGTTTCTCTTACGCTACACGTTCAGCTACTTTTTCTTTCCAACTGTATGCAGTTATTTCAATATGAAGTATTTCAAATCGGCATTCATTCATTTTGAACTTTTTAGCGTTTAATGTTGGGGAGTATCGTCGTAAAGCTTGTGATTTGGAAGCTGGAGGGGAAGCCGATTTCTTCAGTCCAGACAACGCAGTAGGCACGCAAATACGAGAGTGAGGCATAGTGATGTTCATTTTTTCTTTTTGTGTTGATTGTTTATTTTTTCTTTTTTTCCAAATAACTCTTGTTGCAGCGAATGCGCTCGTTTGGCTATCGAAGATATGGCACGATACCTAGACGCTAACGAGGGAGAGGTGGCGGTAAGTGGTAGCGTATTTGCTCTCGTTTTATCAGGCTGACCTTACGTGTTCACGTGGTCGTTATCTAATTTTTGAGAAAACGTGTTCAGATTCTGGATGCTACGAACACGACTCGTGCTCGCCGTCGATTGCTCATAGAGTACTGCCAAAGATCTGACCTGTCACAGAGCTTTCGTGTATTTTTCGTCGAAAGCGTCTGCGATGATCCAGACATTATTAATTCCAACATTACGGTAATTTGTACTTTTTATGTGCTACGGTTCTATAGCCTTTGCCTTTTCGTCTTACTTACGATAAGTGGGGCATACTCTGAATTCGACAGTGTCGAAGCGAAATTCTAGAAAAATGTGTGAAAGTGTGGAAGTGTTCGTATCAATTGAAACATATCCGCGATGGATGAGCGTTCTACCAAGGGGTGGGGCTTGCTAAAATGTCGTTACTCACTTGTAGGAGAGTCGTCGCAATGCAAAAAAATTAGAAGAGCAAGGTTCAAAGGTAGTAAACACTTTGAAGTAGACACTTGTGGAACACTTCCTGATTTGGTGCAGTTCTTTACAAATCGTTGTAGTTCGATTATGTCCGAGATTGCCTAAAAGCTAGAAATAAGCGAATTGAGGCCAGCGAAACAGAGAAGGCCAAGTGTTGGTATTAGGCGGGGTTTGTAACGAAGCCTTGCATCTAGGTCTGGGTCAGCCTAGGGCTCAGAAAAAGTGAAAAAGTGGGAAGAGGCTTGTGAAGGAAACGGGGTCGAGTGTTGATGGTGGTCGTGGCGTGCGGTTTGAGCGAATATGCTACGAATCCTCGTGATTCGGTTACTAAACGGAGACTAAAAATCTGCAGAGGGGATATGGTACCAAGCACCGACGTGAGCAAAGCTGCAATCGAGGAGTTCTGTGATACGGTCCACAAACCCGTGCCATGTTGTGCGCACGACAACAAACCGGTATTATATTGGACGTATGATAAGATTTCTCGCGGTTCATCGAGATTGTCGGGCCTTAATAATGCACATGGGATTCCTTTTTCCAAACTTTTTCAGCCTTGGTGTTTTTCACTCCTCCCCCACCCTCACCTTCACTTCCTCACCGTCCACTCCTTCGCGCTTGTGTTACAACCTCCCCTGCGGGAACTACTAGTTTAAGCGTAGAACGCACCTGCGGCATTCAGAACTACCAAGATTGGCCATAAGTTTGATGGATTACAGAACGATTAATCGCACTGCACTCAAAGACTAGAAAACAGCAGTAGAAGCGTTTGAGCTCAAAATCGTCACCTAGTTAACTTATTCGTGCTTATCGTTTGACTGTTCTAGGAAGTCAAGATCAACTCTCCAGATTACAAAGGAAAAATGACACAAGAACAGGCGAAAGAGGACTTTGTCAGAAGGATTGAGAATTATAGGTTGCAGTATGAGCCGATAGATGAGGACATTGATGACGAACTGTCAT